ATAAGTGATAGTAAAATTTCATGATAAATAATCAATGTATTGAGTTTAATATTTAATTTTTCGAATATTTCTTGGAATAATATATGTTTGTACAAAGTTTAAATACAAGTTAATAGTTCAGAGAGAATTTAAAATGCCGATGGCTTAAGTGCAATTAAATGATTCAGTACAGTCTACTGCGGTAAAGTAATTGATTTGTAAACTGTAGACCTAGTGATCAATACTCTGTGCGTTCATTTCTCCTCTTTTCTGCCTAGAAAACCTTGCAAAGATTCCGTCAAGAAAAAGGATAATATCGGCAAAGAATTTAAATGAAATCCTGCGAGATGCAATCAGAATATATTTTTTCAATTAGATATCATTGAAATGCTAACAAAATCCTGACATAAAATTAACGAAAAGGAGCTTGTAATGTTTTTAAGAACTTGTTCTAATCCTAGAAAAATCGTTGTTGCTTCGTGGCTGCACGTTTCTCTAAGGATTTATCGCTTCCTTAAAATATTCCTTATTAAAATTGCTTTGGTAAACACCTCAGAGCCCAGTGAAAACTGTGTTTTAAATCTTGTTCAAATTATGGAATTCTGCGACTACACGATTTTTTCAAGATTTCGCAGCTTCTTGTATGATCTCCGGTTGCAAAACAGTAATAAATTGTTCACGATTTTGATCGAATTCCAATTCAAATCGACTCAACACCTTAAAACTTCGTGGAGACGCCTTTTTTTCCAGATATTCTTGTTCCCTTAGAAAAAACGGTGAACCTGTGTAGGACCCTTGTCAGATATGTCAGAGAACTGATCCAAAACATCAGATATTTTCCATAAGGGAAATTCATCATTATTCATTAGAGTCTATTGAGGTTCACAAGAGTTCAGCAGAAACCACCAGGTTTCATAATAATATGAAATAAATATGGAAAACCTGAATATTGAAGGAACCTATTAGATCGTATAAGCCACAGGACCCATCAAGATATATCAAAATTTATCGTTACTCATCTGAGTTTCAATCTCCAGGATTTCCTTTCTCTTCCTTGTCAGAAATTTCACGACCGATTCTTTGTCTTTTTACTTAGTATTCAAGGATTCTAATCGACCCACATGAATTTCAGTAGATCCTGGGATATATCAGAACTCAGTCTCTTTTCTTTGTAAATAGGTTATTCAGAGTTGCAAAAATAGTACCTGAAGATCACATCGATTCATCTAGAACACTGTTTGGATTTTATATCCTTCTTTTATGAGTCTCTTTAATTTTCTTGGGTTTTGTGAATATTCAGAACATTAACCTATGCTGATGGATTCTAGAATCCACGAGGATCCATTTTTCTCCCTTGGGTTAAGTAGATTTGTAATGGAAAACAATTATTTTTCTTAAAATGGTCAATTCTATCATCAAATTAGAGGTGGAGCTACGGGATCAGCACTTACATTGACTGCCGCTTATTGTTATATGTTCTTTTTTGAACAAAAAATTATAACACAAATAAAAAATAGCGGTGGTCTGTATTTTCGATATATTGATGACTTATTTATTACAATAAATTGGCCAGCTCGACATTTACTACAACAAATAGAAAGATGGAATAAACTTGATGAAAATAATAAATTAAATGCAAATATTGGTTCAAATATAAATTTCTTAGACTTATATATAGAAAATCAAGATGAAATTTTATTTACTAAAGTATATCAAAAGCCATCTTATGAGCCATTTCAATAGTATTCACTCACTACATATGAAAAAGAGAGTCTATGGGCTTTTTTATTTCAAACTGAATTCCAAAATCAAAAAAACCACACCAATTTCTTCCGAATCAAACTTTTCTCGCTTGATACTACGTAGTCTCACTAAAAACCCTTAGTCCCCCCTAGTCCTGCAAAGTCCCCCTTAGTCCCCCCCACAAAAAGCTTA